AAAAAAAATTAAAATTCATAAGTGAGAGCTACCAAAAGTAAGTGGCTGAAATCAGATCATTCGATCAGTCGTTGCAGAGCTCTAATTTCCGCGTTAAATTAGCTATATTCATCTGTAAAACCATAAAATGAACGCCAGAAATCCATTTTTTTAAATTCTCTCTTCGGTTTCACAAATTTAAAGCTTAACTTCAAATGTTGAAAAGAATAGGCTACCTATCGAACAGACAAAAAAAGCATGTGAAGTGGACTGGAATGGCACAACAGTTAAATTTTTTCCAAGAGAGGGCCTTAATGACATGCTGAAAAATTAAAAATTTTCAGAAAAAATAAATTTTCAGCATAAGCGTACGAAAATATTACCTAAGTAATGGAAGAACAACAAAATACATAAAATTAATATATAAAAATAATTTTTAATTCCGGTTGTTCCAATCACACCAATAATCGCAAACTACTCATTTTTATGAGAAAAAATAATTCGCCAAATCCTCCCCACCGTTATCGTATCTTTCTCACAACTTTTCTAATACAGTATGCGCCTTTTGAGGTGAGCAGATCCAAATGTTTGAAAAAATCATACGCTCAACACACAAGCTGGAAAAATTGAAAGACTAACCGCGGTGAATAATCTTCATTGCAGTTGGATCGACCTTCGCTACTTCAGCAATAAAGTCTTTCAGAGCTCCAAAGGTTTTCACATGCTCTCCAACACTATTTGCTGCAACCAAAGAAATAATTCCAGATAATTTTAAAAAACCAATAACTCAGCAATAAGAACATGACTAATTCTAAAAACCTGCAAAGTCATCAGTTTTTGCAATTTAAAAAGTCTTATTCAAAAAAAGCAAACTGGAAATGGAAATGATGTGAACCAGTTGGTTTGAGCAACCCCTAAAGTTTACCATCAACCAACTGAGTATCTTCTGATGATATTACATCAGCGTAAACTGGGAAGTGCAACTGGCCACATACAACATTAAGCCTCATCCTGTAAAGTGCGGAAATATAATGTCAATTAAAAATACTATACCGGTATAATTGCCGCCTCCATGTCGTACAAAGACTAAAAAAGAAATAACGTAGGAGGGAGAACAGAAAACAGTTCAAGAACACTATTTTATTTTTAAGTTGAGGATGAAGATCCTGTGACCTTTGGATGGACTAGACCATTCCGCTGAGATGTCATACCAAGTTTACTGTGGTACGCACAGATTAGATAAGTTATAAAAAACAACAACATAGTCTTCTGGCAGACTTGGAAAGTGTAAAAGTAGGAAGTATTCAATAGTCCTAAATACTCCGCCGCACCCTCAACCCATCTAGATGCCACAACAGTTCCCAAAAAGTCCCATGCGCCGAAGAAACTACATGTTACAAAGAGAAAAAGGTAGTAGTTAGATACTGAAATAAATGCGAGATAAGACTGGTGGAAATCAAGAGTTACAACAGCAGCAGTGAACGAGTACTAACACTGGTAAACCACGACCAATAAACAAAAAAAAAAAAATTAAAAAAAAGTAAAAACAATGCTGGAAATTCGCCAAAGTCGATATCTTGAAGTCGCTTTAGGCGAATACACCGCTTATAATCGCGTTCATTTTCATTTTTTGATATAATTGTATGGCGAAGAATTTTCGTGACAGGACCTGATCACGGTAGTGCGGCGGACTCGGCGAGATACAAAAACGCTGGCGTGGGTTCAAATTAAGGCGTATTTACCTGGCTAATATCGAGAGTTTTGCGGAGATTTGGGCATATTTCTGTTTGGCACATTCCTGGTTACAAATTGGTTACTAAAATTCAGTGATTTGTAAAGCCGTGATCGAAATATTTGTTTAACTGTGAAGTGACAGCTGATTTCGTCTGTTACTACCTGTATTACTATATTTGCAAAAATAACTTTGTTGCACAAAAACTGTGCTTTTTTTCTTTTTTTCTTTAGATTCAGCCAAGTATGCCCTTAACTTTTTTGGAAAGTTTTAGTAGGCTCGGGACCCATCTGGGCTTTGTATAATACCGGTTAGAAGGAGAGGTAGATTTCTTTTATTGTGAATAACCTTTTTTACCGCTTAAAAAGTCATTTGCGATAAGTATTTTTGATGATTTCAGTAGAATTATGTTTATAGTAGTCTTCTGTAGGGTGAACTACATAGGTTTTCTAGAAATTTATTATGCAAAATAAAATATGGAGTACTTTGCAAAACAAAAACAAAAAAGGCAGATTACTATTTCACACGAGACTGGTAGTACTATCCACAAATAGCGCAGTTACTACAGTAAGGACTACGGTAGTGTTACAAATTGTATGCAAGAAATCCGATGTAATCTTCAGTTTTTGTTTTCAGAACCACAACTCCTGTTGTCGCTTTTCCGATTAACTTCTAATTTTTTTCGTACTTGTTATTCTTCTACTACCTGAACTTCATTATGCCCTTACTTCTTAGTAAATTAGGTTTTCCGACGGTCACTTCAGGACGGCCCAGCTTCCTCAGACTAGTCTAGACCCCATATTTTCTCCAAATATCGTACGTAAGAAAATTAACAGCTATTTCCACGCAATTAACAAAGTTATTGAAGTAATAAATTTAAAAGATATGTGTAGAAACGAAAACGGTCTCACATTTCTGCTGATATTTTGGCAGAAAGGACGCCAAAAAGCAAGAAATTTCGAAAACAAGCAGATTAAACACTGGTAAACAATACCTCTTCGTCACACCTCATTTACATGTGTTATGCAAAAGTTATGTATACCTTTTCGGAGGTCGCTTGCATAACTTCCGGCCATCTCCATCCAGCACAGTGGCATTCCGCCAAAACTCTTGGAACCTTTCCCAAAACAAAGCATTTTCCCACTCGTATTCTTAGACATATAATTAGAAATGAACGCGACTACATTGCCGCCAAAGATTTTTTTCGCCTTACAATCAGCGGTGATTGCTGCAGCTATCGTACTTCCGGACGTACTGAAATTCGCAGATGTATATATAGGCGGATTCAATCCTAATTTCCACTGGTCTGGAAAACGAGTTTGGCTGCAACGATTCCAGCGGAATTGGCAGTGTGCCACTATGCTATA